ATTCAAAATGTTCCACTTATATTACTTTTCTGCCTTCTTCACTACTAAGAGTCTGACATATAACTGGTATGCTGGTCAGGAGTTCCACCTATACTGGCTGAATAATTTTGTGCATTAGTGAGCAACTAAAAAGATGAGGACAATGATAACAGCCTGGAACAGCTATTAAGACAAGTTAAAACTAGCAGCATCTTCACTTTTTTATAATGTTAACCATGGAGACCAGATGTTTTTAAAAAGCTATCATATCACTATGATGAAAAGCAGTATTGCACAGCTTTAGTCCTGAGACAGTATGCACTGATGCCAGTGCTGGCGATGAGGTTTTTAAAAAAAATGAATATTTCAAACCAGTGTATGTCATGGTTTATGTCATGGTTTATGAGATGTATTTTACCTTTGGCGTCCTCTTTGGCAAATGGCTTATTCTACCATGAATAAAGTTGTTATTAAATCAGTCCATGGTTTGCTATCAAGAGGCCTAAGTGCTAAAAGCACCTACAACCTTACAGATTTTCCTTGGCCACAAAGCCTCAACAACAATTATAAGCACCTTACTATCCTTATTCTTATACATACACAGGGGTTGATTTACTGGACTGTTCACTTTGCAAGTGAATTTGCACTATGCAGGGGAAGTTTTTATTAGCTTACTGAATGAGGTGTTGACCTCAGTTAGTTACGTTCTGCTGACTTCCATCACTCAATCACGTGCAAGCAAAAATACTGTTTTTTTAATTTTCCTTGCACATGAGTGGATATTCTTAGATATTCTTTGCAAAGTGAAATATCACAGCATTCACAAAGCTAAGGTGTAACTTCCCCTGCAATGTGCAAATTATCTTGCAAAGTGAATGTCTATTGTTCTTTGGTAAATCAGCCCCACTTTGTCAGTCTTTTCAGAGTATTGAATAAGAATGTGAAATTTGTCCTTGAGGCTTGCTAATCCTGACATACCTGCTTGTCAGATGAGTTTGCATTTTTTCATAATTGACTTGCAGACAGGAGATTCTGATTCTTGGGGCCAAGGGCCAAATGGCTCCCAATGAAAAATGTCCTACTCCTGTTCTGGTGACATCCCTAAAATTTTGGATTCACTCTTACTTCCTGGTGACAATGGTTCACAGGACATGAAGTGAGGGTAAATCTCCATTGTGGGGACAGGATCTAACCCTTCCCCAATATATCTAAAACTATTGCATTTTGGCTGTCATTATACTTTCAGTTTAAACCATTTACTGCATAATTAAATATAATGCTTCCTGGACAGAGGAAATATTATAGTAGAGACTATGGGATCTATTCGTGAAGCTGCTGAAGGATCTAGCCATAGCTTCGGCTGATCCTTCGGCTAGCTTCGGCCCCAGGACCCCTTCGGTTCAGTAGAAGGGTTCAGTAGAACCGAAGGGCTGCTGTACGGGCTATTTACTATAGCCCGTACAGCTTCCGAAGTGGGCATATGCCTCGGCTCGACTAAGCCGAGGTGAAAGTCAAAGCTGGCCAAGCCGTTGGCCGGCCGCCAGCCTGCTTCTGGCAGGTGGGGGCGACAGCTGGGCGGAGCCAGCCTTGATCTTACAGAGAAATCAGCGTTTACTCTCTGCCACTTGCAGAGAGATCAGCGTTCCTGGTTGCCAGGTAACCAGGGAAACTGATCTCCAGACAGGCCAACTCTCCCGGGCGCTCCGGGAGTCTCCCGCTAGGGAGAGAAACACTTTCTAAAGGAAAGTTTTGCTCTGCTCTGCTCAGCCATTGGCTGCCATCAGAATAAAAAAAAATGTTCACCATAGGAATGCATTGCTAGACTCCTATTGGCTATTTCAATTTGCAGTAGCCAATAGCAAAGTACCTATTGCACCCGCCCACTGCTGCTGTAAGTCAGCAGAGGGGACCTGCATTTCTCCATCAGGTCCCCTCTAGTGATTGACAGCAGCAGAGGGCGGGTGCAATAACTAGTTTGCTATTGGCTCTTGCAAATTGAAATAGCCAATAGGAATCTAGCAATGCATTCCTATGGCAATTTTTTTTTTTTTTACTGCAGCAGAACCGCCCTCCAATAGAATACAGTTGTGCGGAGCTAGCTGTCACTGCTAGCTCTGCGCAATCGTTTTCTATTGTTTTATTCTACTTTTTAAACTATTTTCCTGTTCTGCTCGGTACCACAGAGGGACCGAGCAGTACAGCCGATCCGAATGTCGCTCAGCGGCATTCGGCTATTTACTCACTGCTGTCCGGCATCTATAAGAATAGACCAAACAGCAGCAAGTAGCCTATCGGAGGTTCGGCTTGGCCGATTCAGATGTTGGATTGGCTGAGTCGAACTCCTTCTGCACTTTGAGTCGGCTGAACATGCCGAGCATGTTTGGCCGACCCGAAGCCACGCGAAGCCACCCAATGTACGGCTGATTTCAGCCGATATACGGCTGGAATCAGCCGTACCAGCCTGAAGTGAATAGCCGAACAGTGTTCGGCTCACTTCGCTTCAGGTCGGTCGTTCACTCGGCTGCCTACGGCAGCTTAGTGAATGGACCCCTATATGAATGATGTATAGCATTTACACAAAGGGAGAACATATGGAATACATAATACAATGTAGTACAAAAAATGCATTGCTCCTGGTTCCCCATCTCTTGCAGAAAAGAGCTGCCAAGAGTTCAATGCATACAATGAAAACTATTGTGGAGTATTTCTAGGCTTCAATCTATTCGTAACTGACTATAAGGATATGTGTCAGAATTTTATAAGCATGCTCGTAGTCATATGTACACATGCATTGCACCTTAAATAATTTTTAATAAATATAGCTAAGGCCAATTTTGCAGCATCACTGAAAAATGACCATCTATCAAATGTTTGCCCAGTCATTGCCCAAATTTACCCTAAAACCTTCTACTGAGATTACTGTTGCCTTTCTATCAGCTTGAACCAGCCTGGGCATTCTTCTCTCACCTCTGGCATTAACACATTTTCAACAGTGAACTGCCACTCATTGGATATTTTCTCTTTTTCAGACCATTCTCTGTAAACCCTAGAGATGGTTGTGCTTGAAAATCACAAACGATCAGCAGTTATGAAATACTCAGACCAGCCTGTCTGGCACAAACAACTATGCCATGTTCAAAGTCATTTAAATCATCTTTCTTCCACATTCTAATGCTCGGTTTGAACTTCAGCAGATCGTCATGGCCATAGCTAAATATATTTGTGTTAACAAGCAATTGAACAGGTGTACTTAATAAAGTGGCCAGTGAGTGTATATACTGT